GGGATAAAAATCTTGAGTAGAAAATCTCCTAAGCTCCATGGAGGAATAGTGGAATAGAAGTGCCATAATTCTAAGTATTCAAGGAGAAATCCTATGCCCCTGGACAGCATCCGAGGACCTCAAGACACTTCAGATTCTCAGATCTGTTGGAGACAGTGCTCTGATCTTGTGGATGAACACTGGAGTTCTAACCCGATTCCCTGCAACCAGTGTGGAAAGATCTGTGAACAATTGCTCTCCAAGGTAGGGAAAGCAACCACAGAGAAGTTTACAAGGAGCATTCCAGGGGGCAGGAATGGAAGGCAACTGGAGGAGCCATGATACAAGAGATCATGCTGCCTCTTCCGCTTCCATCCTTCCCCATCTTTTGCTCCAACTTGCAAAACTGAGAAGTGAGAAGACAGAAAGACAATGATTACCTCTATGGCACTTTCTGCTCTGCACAGGATAACCCTGAGCCTCAAAGTTCAGTTGACATGGGATTGCCATGGGAAATTCCTAAGAAGAGTTTCTGATTATATGGATTAAAGGGCTAAATTTAAAGGTTCCAGTACTGTAACTTTTTTTTTTTCTCAGATCGTTGCTTTAGAAACTGGGGTGCTGAAGGGAACTTCACATCCTGAGTCAATATTTAATTGAGAATCCCTTAGAACTATTTCACACACTGCATTTTTCCCCCTGGTGTTCAACTAAGGCACAGATGAGTAACTTGTAGTCCTCTGGATGTTGCTGGACTACCATTCCCAATACCTTTTCTCATTGGCTGTTCTGGCTAAGAATTTTGGGGATGGTGGTCCTACAAGATCTCGAGGGCCATATGTTGCTTTAACTAAGCTGTTTACCAACATAGAGCTACCAATGTAAAGGTCGGCTGTGGCAAAGAAATGCATCTTATAGTCACATTTAGCAGAAAGATTCAATCATCGGCTGCAACTCAGTGGCAAACTCGTGCTTCAGAATAAGAACATTAGAAGATCCCTCCTGGACCATAGTCAATGTCCATCTAAGTTAGTTTCATACTTACTACATTAGTCAGAGAGGTGCCTCTAGGAAGCTCCCTAGCAGAGGCATGAAGACCAACGTCCTTCTGCACTGTAGCAACTGGTACTCACTGGCATACATCTCTGTATTTGGAGATTCCATATGGATATTGTGGCTAATAGCTACTGATGAGAAGTCCCCAAGCAATACGGTACAGGGCAACCTCATATTTCAATGCTTCTGGAATATGGTGTATTTCTGTTCAGGAGACTCCACACTTTGGTTGCAATGATTGTCTCCCGAATCCATCCTGCTTCTTTACATCTGACTTCTTCTTCTGCTCAGTCCTGACTTTAGGAAGTGAGCCAAGCTAAGAGAAAATCTGAAAATGAATACTCTGAATGCACAACCAGCAACCTTCCTCAGCACATGCAGCAGAAAGAACAGCTGCAAGTCATGGACATGGAACAGGGATGCTGCTTGTTCAACTTGCGTGCAGGTTTGCTTCCTGGTGGATTCCTGCACACATACTCAGCATGTGCAGCAGGAAGCTGGACTCCCAAGAAGACAAGAAAACAGTCTGGAGAGATCAACCCAGGGAATCCAATGGATTCTCCCCACTAAATGGATTCTCGCCTATCACTACTGCATGCTGTTTTCTCAGCCCTGTTTCTGGTTTCCTTTTCCAGTGTATACTCAATGTTTTGTGGCTACTTAGCATGACCTGTTCTCATTGGGCTAGAAGATATTTAAAACATGTTTTCTACTTGTCCAAAGCTTGGGGCTCCACCAAGACAGCATGATGATTGCTCCATCTTGTTTGTAGTGGCTCATTTTGGATTCCATATTGCTGCCACTCAACACTGAAGTACAGTATTTAGCTTCCCTGTTTCATCTTTTATTGCATGTCACTCCCAAATTTCCATACTGACATATGGAAAGGTATATACATTTTGTAAAGACATAATAGTTACTGATAAATCTCTCACCTATGCTTTCATCCCTACAAACGCACCAATTTCTTCACATGGCGTATAAACTATGGCATTCACTGCCACAGGAAGTAGTGATGGCCACCAATTTGAATGGCCTTAAAGGGAGGAGAAGACTATCATTGACTACAAGTCGTAATGGCTGTGGTTAACTTCAGCACTAGGGGAAGTATGTTTGCATGGCCGTTACTGAAGAGGTTGGGCAGGAGGGGACAGTTGCTGGAGGGATCCTGGGGCAACTAGTGCACCACCATGTGAATGGCATGCTAGGCTGGATGGATCACTGGTCTGGTCCAGAATGGCTTTTCCTAAATAAGAATAGCAGAATGCTTCCTGCTTTGGCAAAGCATACAAGGAACTCTGAGAAAAGCCACAGGCATGTAAATAAAGCTAGCCCAGATTATCTAGGAGTATGCAAACACCTAAGTTGCTTCCAAGTACTGCCTCAGCTATATTTTCAAGATAAATCTGGAGGTTTCCATGGGGGAAAAACACCCAAGGTGCTTGACCACCTTGTAATAGAGAATCTCAAGTTGTGAACATGTTAGACTGCTTAATACAGCCCAATTTGATAGCAATCCCCTCATGAGTGCACTCTCAGTAATTAGTCCTCCAATACGAATTTTCAACGTCTCTGATAAAGCTACATTTTTCATTCAACTTGCACTGAGCCTTTACCATGGTTCATGCCAATCATTGGTGCAATTACATTTTTAAATAGCATTTGATAAGATTGGCTTAACTTGCTCTCCTCCAGCCCCATGCCATTAAACAAAAGTCCCATTTCTGGAGAAATCATGGTGGCGTCTTAACAGCAAGGTTACAAAGAGCATGACCTTTTGTGGGAAACCTGCCCAAAGGTTATGGTTTGCATCACAAAAGTCACGAACATGACAGACATAATCCTTGTTCATGGTCCCCACCGCACCCTTTTATTTAAGCATTTTAGAAGAACAGCCTCTAGCTTCTAGCATTAATCACTGATTGGAAGTTTACATAAATATGGAGGTAGTAATCTAAAACCTGTCCCAAATTAGAAAAATGTGATGGGGAAGCGGTTAATAAGGAGTTGGAATTTTTCTGATTACACTATTTATCAGGTAACATTTCAAATAATTAAACTGAGCTGTGAGGAGAATCGAAGAAGGGTGGGTGCTGGTTTTGTTTTGTTTTAATTGCCAAGATATAGAAGCTCTATGGGGGCCTAAAATGTATCGCATATACATGCAGATTAAAGAGGGCAACGAATCTACGTAGACTGCACCAGGCCAAAGGAAGACATCTGGCAAGGAAGGGCAACTTTTCAAACCTGTCTCATTAACTTTGAAATGAACATGACGTGCATTTGACCAAGGCTTGCATGGAACGTTAGCAGTGAGTTAACTCCATATTAACTGGAAAGACAGAGACTTTGTATCAGATCTCCAAAAAGCCTTTCTGGAATAAGTTCAAAACTCTGGGCTACACTTAACAATCATTTCTTTTACATCAGATGCCTTTTAACGGCAGGAACAAAACCAGAAATCTAATATTGGACAGGGTTTTCCTTTGCTTGACAGTCATTTTAGTATGTGCTTCTTGTATTTAATCTTTTTAATTAATATTTATATAGCACAATTTTCTGGATGCTAAGGCTAGAGATAAATTATTCTTTGTTAAGAGTATAGAATATAATGCAATAGAAATATTATTCACAATTTGTAAACTTGTTCATTGTGTTTGATTTATGATCTTTGGGCAAACAGAGCATTATGTATGCCTATACACATTTAATCATGGGAGAGACCATGTCTTAGAGATACAGCTTGTGTTTTGTTTTCAAGCCCGGGAGTTTCCTATTTGAGTGTATGTGTGTGTCTGTTTGTGTGCTGGAAGACCATTTTGTTAACTCAAGTGAGGTCAAAAGTTCAATGACTGGTTTCATACAATGGTTGCATGTGGGTTTGTCATAAAACAATGGTTGTTGTTAAAATGTGGGTTATCACATGGACTCAAGCACTGGCTTATAAACCACAAGCAACCCATGAAGACAATCCATGGATTGTTGTTGGTCTATGAACTGTGGGTTCATAGTTTTGTTCACCATGTTTTGTTCATCAAGTTTTGTTCACCATAGACTCAGGCAATACAGCAGAAACTTAAGTTTCAACAATAATGCACAGTTCAACAATAAACCACACTCAACCTATACTCAACGCTTCAGTTCAATTTATCATGTTCTCAAAAAAAAAAAAAGATTTTAAATTCATTGTTTGCTTTGTGGATACCATTTCAGTCAGTGGCTTAATAAACCTTTTGCACTAGTGATTGCAAGGCAGAACTAAATTTTGATCATGCATAGGAATTTGGAGTTGAACTTCTATGTTCTATTAATGAAATTTACCAATGAAGTAGAGATCACCTGGCATTTGCAGTGGAATCCATTCTAGCTTTGCTTGTTACACCATACGATACACTGGAATTTAATCTGGGTCACATGAAGGTATCTGTTAAAAATTTGGCACTTGTGAAAAAATGTGTGTTAGAACATTCAGGTATGAAATATTTGCGGAACATTATGAAGCATATAGCACTACAGCTTTTAAGCATGCTTACACAGAAACAACTCAACCAACATGTCTGTACTCAAAAATCCTGTACAGATACATTTGTTATGAAAAGGAATGCATATATATATAAGCATATTATATTCAAGGTACAATCTACCCTTGCAGCTAGAAGCTAAATCAAGGTTGCCACTTTTTGTCTTGAAAATTGTCTAGCAAAGTGCTGGATGTATTGCCACCTATTCATAAATATGTCTCCTAAAAAACAAACGAAAACATTTTGTTTAGCAGTCCCAACATGGTGGATATGGACCAGTGTTGCAAGACAGTTTTGAGTTGGATAGCTGTGCTGGGTACATCATTATCCTTGACATTTTGGCATTGCCAAACTGCTGAGCTCTCTTTAGGTAGATTAAAACCTTGAAAATAAAATATAAAGCATAATATAAACAACATTTACATGCAAAAACTATTTAAAACAATAAATAGTAAAATTCTCAGGCTGGTTAAACCCTTTTCATATGTGCGGGAGCCATGTTAATCTTCTCTGTATCATTCCAATATTAGTATATGTGCTGCCAAAATGAGAAAGAAAGTAGAAGAAAGTCCTCCATAATTAAGGGACCAGCACAGAAAAGTCTCTCTCCGTTTTGCCACCCTGCAAACCTCATTGTGAGAGGCACATGAAGGTGGGCTTTGAGTGCTGATTGTAGGATTCAGGTGGGTCTGTACTGGGAGAGGTGCTTTGTCAGGTATTTCAGGTATTTGACTAGGATGAAATTTAGCTACTTAGAGGAAGACTTATAGAACAATCAAATAGGTTTTCTACATAAGGCTGTTAATCAGCTTTTAATCTGTTGCATCTGCTTTCGATTTTGCCATTGAATTGAGATCTAAGGCTCCATGATTTCCTTTCCTGCTTTTCTTCGACATCACCTCTAGGTGGCAGTGTGGTAAACAGAGGAGAAGAAGAAAATGTGCTACCTTTTGCTTTCACAATTAAATGAGGGATTTTCTTCTGCTCTAAAGTATCCCAACTGTCTTTTAAAAAAAAGAACATAAATAACAATTGCATGATAAATTTCTCATGTACAAAAATCTTCTAAACTCTCAGAAAGGGCAGTTAAGAGACTGCTGGACATTGCAGAATTCCTTTCCCACCACCAGAAAGGTAATTCTGCAGATGCAGGAATTCCATAGCTGGTGGCTTCTTTGTTGAGGCTGCTGAAAAAGCCGATGCCATCACTGTTGTCTTCCTATTACTGGTCCTTCACCTGCAGTATGGGTGAAAGGGACGTATAGGATGGTATAGAAAAGTTTTAAAGAAAGAATACTAGGAGAAGATTTGAGGAAGGGTTGGTGAACTAGAGCAAAAGCTCTCCTGTTTTCCAGAAAGAAAGAAATACTCCATGAGACCAATAGGAAGAATTTAGCTTTTGCTTTAGGACAGCCAACTGGTAAAACGGACAGCTAGAAAAAAGGGCTGCTCCTAGTTTCTGCTCCTAGAGCAGCATGAGCCTGGCAGAAACTGACGGCTCTCCTACCATGACTGTGCCACCCCCCCCCCCCACAATTCCCATAAGATTGCTCTGCCCAAAGATGATTTGAGCCTAATTTGAATGATGGCTGTTTTAGACAAACTCTTATATAATGTCAAAAATTAACAAAACTAACCAGCATGGATCCAAAATTCACCAAAATATTGAAATAAGTTGCTGACTACCATGGCATGAAACAGAATTAGAAAACTATATGTATATTATGGCTGTTCTTGAAGTTATATTCAAGATGAGGGAGCAAGGCGTGGCATCAAGGAAAAAGGGGAAAGAAGCAATACTGTATGCTGATGCCTTTTACTCCAACTTCTTCTTTGACAAGAGAGTAAAACTCAGACAGGTCGGAGGACCAAACTCTCCCAAACAGTAGTGGCTTTCTTGAAGTGCGCTCAGTGGTACACCCAACAAACCTTAAACAGACGATGTGGGCATTCCAAGTGGAAACAACACATCCTTCGTGAGGAAAGCATGACAGTTCACTTATCTATTTCTATTTAACACAATGCAGACGTTCTGATTTTACGGCATTACATGTTTTGAACCTTTTAGTGAAGTGGAGGTTTCTCATTTCAGTCTAACTGCTGTTAATTTGTTCCAAATGTTCACATGGCAAATAAGGTCTGGTTACCATCTCGACATTGAGTCGATAATAGGAACAGAACTGATCAGCATCTGGTTTAGTTCAGAGTACAACACACCGCCTAATACTTGAAAATTTGGATTGGAAGATCCTGGCCATTTCACGACCACCGAAAACCCCCCAGAAAATCTAACAACCCTAAACAGCACTCACATATAGTCATGTGCCATTATTTATTGCTTGATAGGTTGGCTAAATATGGAATATCACATTACTAATTTTACCAAATTCCACAATACATAAACAGGCCAGAACCTCTTAACATAAATTATGGCAGGGCTGTCTTAATGATAATTTTAAAAATCCACAGGGCTTGCTTTCCGGAGTTGGAAAACCATTTAAGTACATGCACATACAGACAGACAGACAGAATTTTCAAGTTTCTAATTTCATCTTTTCTCTATCATAGACAACACCCATCACAGATGTATGAAAATATGTTGGGCATTGCCGCTTTGTGCATAAACATGAAAATGGGTTTAACCATGAATCCAAAGATAATCTGCAAATTAGATTTTTCCTTCCATGAAATGTTCCATAAAAATGTAAAAAAACTGTTTTACCACATGTAATTCTCATTTTTTAAATGTTCCTTGAGCTTGTCCTTGTCTTGGGTTTTTTAACGATTCCAGTGACCAAACCAATAAACCTGCAATGCTGTTGCACTGCTAGAGTAGTACATACTTTAAAATCAATAATCATTAAATGCAAAGAGGTTGACAAAACAGGGAGTGTCCACTAATATGAAGATGACTGAAAGACATTACATTTGCTGCTTTCCAATCATGTGCGTCAGTTTTAGTGGATCTGCAACTTCATATTAGAGCTTTAAAACTGATCTCCAAGTCTCAATCCTTATGCTTCTCATAGTCTTCAAGCAGAAAACTTAGCTCTCTGTCCCTTTAAATTAAGCGGCTACCATGCATGCTTAGTCACTGGGTAGTTCAAATTTTGAGGGATGTGCTCTCCAAGGATTTTTAAAAATGTATTTCTATGAACCTTGGTGTTCCACATATGAGTATACTGACACCTTTCTTTCTTTTCTCTGTGGCCTCTTATTGACTGCAGTACTGTTAACACTCATTTAATGAGTTTATTTTTAGGAAATTTTTATGCATGTGTGTATGCACATACGCATAGACAGCATACACATGCAAACAGTTATATTTGAAGGGTTGTCATCAAGACTCGTTTGCACAGCTAAGGAATAACCGGAACATATATTGCTTTGCTCTTTGTTCTTGATTCAACAAAGAGACAGACACCCCCAGCAATCTTTAAAATAAAGACGCTGCTAAATGTTGGTGCTTCTCTACAGCTAACCACATAGTGCCCCTTCCGTACTCCTGTGAGCTGAAAAGTATTTGGTTAAAGAAAATAGGCTGGCATGACAGCTTCAATCATTGTGTATATATATCAGAATGAAGAGAAAATGCAGCAAAAGCTTGTTGGACATGTGTCTTGTCAAGCCAAATTAAGAAAAGTAAAGGTGCAATCCAATGCAAGTTTAGACAGAAAGAAGGCATACAACTCCCGGGATATACCAACCAGGCCTAATGAAAGCAAAGACTGATTGCTATAGATTACTAACTCTTTACAGTCTGTTCCTAAAGGAGTTGCATCAGGCTGGCTACAGATAGAATATCCAAATGCTAAAGCTCCTTACTGAAAAATCCGATACCTTTCATGGATAATCCTTCATTCCACTGGTAAATCTTAGCACAGATGCCAGCGGAAAATCTCTCTTTGTGTATATGGATTGCAGGCAGCTCTTCCAGTGGCTCAAGACATATGCTGAATAATTTAAAAAGAAAATCAGATTTGGTTCTTCTCCAGCAAAAGTGAAGCAATAACAGTGGCCAGATGAGTGTTTGTCTATGACGATTCCTCTAGTATTCTTTTGTAATCCATGTTCGCATTGCACCAAGAGTTACTCCTGTTTAGGGTTATAGTGTCTGACGTCTAATTTTGCAGGCACAGAATGGACAGTCTACACAAAATATAAATATGGAGCTTAAAGACTGTGCATTGTACACCCCACATCTGTGATGATTTCTCATGACAAATTTGATCATTCATGTTTGGTGTTCTTGGATCCATGGAACCAGCAAGCAAATGCATTCGCACTGGGAAACTAAATTTGATTATTCATCCATCTCTCATATAACGTCTGAAGCCCAAATATTATTGAAATGTAATGCATAGCAAACATGACTGCCATCATGATTGAAATTCCGCCAAGAAAAGGATCCTCCACTGACTAATTGAACTTGCCATAGCAACTGTGAGACAATGGAGAAAAAATGAAGCTCTGAAACACAAACATTTAGAGGTATATACCAATGCATCCAGTGCATATTAAGCAAGGGTTACTAATTTAATTTCTGCTTTCATTCTATTATGGTCTAAAGCCAAAAGCTCCACTAAATGCCTTTAAAGAGATATGTGATATTTTGAGATTTTAATAGATCAAGGCTAAAATCCACAGTCATTTGGAAGGAAACTCCATGGAACAACATAGGAGTTCCTTCTGACTAAAATGATAAGCTTGGACATAAGAAACAACCTATACTGAGTCAAACTATGGATCCATCCAGCCTAGTATTTTTGATGTTGACTAGCAGGATTTTTCCCCCTGGTCCTAACTGGAGAAGCCAGGGAGCAAACCAGGAATTTTCTGCATGATAGCAACTGTCACTCAGTTGTGCTCAGCATGAGAGTCTCTCCCTCTGCTCCCAAATGTTCTACTTAAATCATTTGGTTTGTTTTCCAGTTGAGTTCTATTTGTGTTGCAAATTATAATACTCCTATTGACCCTGGAAGGCATTTTTATATTTTGTTCCAACTAGGATCAGGTCCAGCTTTACGCTGATGGGAGTGGAGTTGCTTGCTCCTTCCCATGGGACTCCCTGAAGCTCTCCAAAGATGCTACAGTCAGGATCATATGGACAACATACAGTGCCTTGCCATTTGACTTTTCCACAATTTGCTGTGTTCCAACCTGGAACCAGAATTGGTTTAACTTGCATTGCTTCCATTTGACATACATGATACTCAACACTGCAAATGTGCAAAATATGTTTTTAATTGTTGCACAGAAGTAAACAAAAGCAAGCTAGAACTTGTTGGATGAAGTGGTATTCACTGCCAAGTCAGCACTGGATAGAAGCACTTTTAACAGCAATTACAGCTGTGAATATTGTTGAGTAAGACAATCGGCTTTGCACACCTAGTTTCTGCAATGTTTCCTATTCTTCTTGGAAAAACTGCTCCACCTCTGTCAGGTACCAGTGCAGAATAGCAACTGTCAAGGCTTTCCACAGATTCTCAACTAAAATGTGCTCTTTGACTGGGCGCTTCCTCTTTTTGCTTGTTCACTGTTCCAGTGTCCGGCT